TTGTCCTCATAATTTCCCTAAACTAGAAGACAAAAAATATTTACAACATACATAGAGTAGAGAGAAGAGGGAATTATAGCCAGAGGACTTGGCTTGGCCAAGTAAACTTTGGATTGCAAATTCCATTTATTAGGCACTTGTTCTTACAGTTAGAGATGCCAGAAAGATAGAAATAAGCTGATAAAACCGAAAAAACCATTAACAGGTGTGGTGTCTTGTTAGGAATTAAAGCAGAACTATTTTGGGATCTTGGGTTTTATTCTTTGCTTTCTGGAAATAATTTAGGGAAAATTCAGTTTTCTTTTCATTTACCTATCATCTTCTGCCTGTTGGTGTCCTATTCAGCAGAAGAGGTGGATGAAAGCTGGTGAAATTAAAATTTGAATAAGAAAAACATTCCAGCAAAGCCTATAGAATATCAAAAGTTATGTTTATTTTTACCTTTATTTTTATTATTAGTACAGAAATAGCTTTCAAATAATAACAGGTCACATGGAATATCATTCTACAAGGATTGTTTTGTATAATCTTACAAGTAGCCAAATTACACCATGAGGCCTGTTTTAGATGCTTAGAGTTGAGGATGAGATGGATATACTGAACATTTACATTTTAATTATAATCATGGTAGACAAGATTCTTGTCACTGTATATTACATTAAGTTAATGAACTTGAATAGAACTTGAACAAATCATCAGTTTCACTCCAATTCACTATAAAACATAGAGCTCATTAATGTGAATTTCTATTCCACTTTATTTTAAGGAAGGGTACAAAAAGCTAACTCCTACTATCTGCCCAACTTGTATCTTCATCATGCAAATGGTCATCTCTTAAGTTTTAAACTACATAAACACACAATTTGGCATTTTACTGCTTTCATTCCTGATTTAATTTAGACCTGATTGCCCGTCAGAAAATTATAAAAGATTTCTTTGCTCCTTCCTTTCTGTTTCTCTCTCTCTCTTCCTTTCTTTCTTTCCATAGCTTTGTTGTCATAATTGATATGCAATGAACCTCATATATTTAATGTATATAATTTGATGTTTTGACATATATATATATATATACACATATGTGTATGTGTATACATACAAAAGTTTCCTCCATGAAACTTTTGGAAAAATCAAGATAGAAACACACTCATCACCCCACAAAGTTTTCTTGTATCCCTTACTAATTGGCCCAGCTCCAAACAATCACTGGTGTATTATGAAAGTTTTCTTTATTTCAGTGATTTAGTATGGTATATTCTCATTTTTATAAAGAAATGTGAATGTTTTCACATGTTTAGTGTGCAGGTGGTTTGGCTTTATACCATAAACAGAACAGTATGAATACACTTCAAACAAACTCCTGTAAGCTAAAAAGATAAAAATTTTAAAAGTGTTTAGACTCCTTTCATTATGGTACTGGCCATTCTATACCTACAAAATATGCATGATTTATAGGGAATGTTTTTAAGCAGCTCCTCAGAAATAGATTCTGAGCACACGAGTACATCGTATTTTCCTAACGTAAATGGTCTACTCTGAAAACCAACATTACCAAGCTTACATTAAGACGAGTGTCTTTGTAGATCAGAGCATAATGAATAGAAAAGCTAAAGTAAACGTTGACCTTCTGAAATCTAGGTCTAGAATTTGTTGTTTTAAATATTAAAGAATTCCATTGGATAGTATAAACTACTCTTTATTTTCTTAGCATTATTGTTTTCCTTCTTCGCCTTACTCTGCTTTTGGATAAAAGGTGAAAGAGAGAGCCCTTGATGGTGTGTGTTGGAGCGACTGTACTGAACACCGCCCGCTGTCTGATGGAGAGACCCTGGGCTGGGCAGCCTGTTTCTGTCCTAGGTGTGCAGCGAGGAATGAAGGTTGTGAGTCTCTCTGTGTGTATGTGTTCGTAAAGAACTTTAACTAAACAAAGTTAGAAATCGAATTTCACGGCTGGTCGTCTTCTGTTTCTGGATCTGTAAAATAATAGTTACAAAGCTGTGTAAGGGTAGAGACATGGGGAGGACAAACTGATGCTCGGCATGTAGTTCTCGAGGAAGTTTAGTCATCATTACTAGTTAGAAACTCCTCTATTGTAGCGCTTTTGAGTCAAAGTGTACACATATCTCCCGTCCCCAGTCTACGTGCCCTTTAGGAAATGGTTATTGATTGTCTGAACTCTGGGAGCTGTTGCTCTGTCTGGCCAAGGAAATCTGCTGGCCTGGCAGTCTATTGAGTTAGCTGCCTGGAAACAGGCAGGAGAGGGTCACTTCTGATTAGAACTGACATCTAAGACTTTGTAAAATGGGCTCCTTTCCAGCCTGCTCATGTACCCCACTTTACTGTTTATAGTATTGCAAACCCTGTTCCTTAAAATAGCACGAACACTGCATTTACTTTCTGCTGACAGTTAATACAATTAAGCATAATTAAAGTTCGAGCCCTACTGATTCCCTCATAAAGAGTCCTCGAAGCTGATGCAGCTAGAAGGATTTAAAAGGATGTCAGTCCCTCACGGTGTGGGGGCTGGTGCCTGGTCACTGAAATATTTTTTCTCTTTCGTTTTCACATTTGACTGAAGTGTTGCTCTGGTGGAGATGAGGAGGGGGGGACTCACGGTCCATCACTGCAGTAACTCACAAAGCACTGGTTCTAGATGGAATCACTCACGCAGGCAGTGGGTAACAGTTTACGTGGTCTGACTGTGGAGAACTGGGCTGGCCCCAGATCTCTCCTCAAGACCTGTCAGGAAATCTAATTTTATAACAAGGGTTTTATATGTTAGGATAATAGATGTAAAGACCAGGGTTTAAGATCATTTTATAATATTTCTGAGAAGAGAGGTGGAAGCTATCGTCAACTGAACAACTACACTCTGAGTAATTTTCACATTCTTTATTAGAATTTTGATAAGTGCTGGCCTAATGCCCGAAAGAGTTTAGTTTCCATAAGGCCACTCAGAGGTGTGGTGAAGACATGTTAGCAGACGACAAAAAGCCCCAAAAGGGTGTGTGAGACAGAGAGAGAGAGAAATCAGAATCAAATTTGAGTGTCTTCCTGGTTTTGCCTTATACGTAACTCCTCAGAGGCTCTGTTTATGTGAGCACTTTGAGGTCAGTAGGATGGAAGAGACTTTGGATACTTTCCTGCCTATCCTGTGCATCCACAAGCCCAGTGGAGAAGGTGACAAACGTGAAGCTGTGCATTTAACCGGGTGCTTATACAGAGGGAGGAGGACCTTCTGCATTGATTTTCACTGATCATTCATTCTATAAAGCTTCCCATCATGGCTTACTCTGCTGTGCTCTCACCCCCTGGATGTTGCATGGAGTGAGTTCTGTATGGAAACGGCCTGAGAGATGAGCGTGCCACAGGAAGTCCTGTATTGTGAACCAGCTATTTCATTTCAAACATCACATCTTTCCTAGTTTCTCTTGAGAATGTTTCCTTGATGTTTCAGGCAGAACAGAGAAAACAAACAAACCCTCAACTTTCTCTAAATAAGCATTTCTCCTAGGAGGACTGTAAAATATTTTGGCATTTCTTCTCAACTATTTCATAGACTTTCTAGCTAGGTCAGGACATTCTTTTAAACTTTCTTTCCCTCCCTAGTTACAATATTCACTAAGTATTGACCTTGCTAGAATTTTTAAAAGAATAATTTCACAGTGAATGCTGATGGGATCTTTGGTACAAAGGTCAAGGCATCTGATCGTATGGGTCAGAGTGAAGGTTACCTGATCATGAGTTTTAATGTGGACGCTAGGAGAGGGGGTCAGGAACACCCTAGGCTGAAATGTTCAATGACCAGCACATGCCAAATGGTATGTTTCCAATACTGAATGCTCTGCTCATTCTCTCCTAATTAACATAGAATTAAAATAAAATTTCACACTCATTTGGAAAAGTGCCCTTTAATTGGTGATTTTTTCTCTTGAAGAAAAATATATTAAAGGATAGATGCTGGATTACATAAGGAAAAATAGCGTTCTCATGAATAGTTTGGGCTCCCCTGGCGGCTCAGGCATTAAAGAATCTGTCTGCAATGTGGGAGACCTGGGTTCAGTCCCTGGGTTGGGAAGATCCCCTGGAGGAGGGCATGGCAACTCACTCCTGTATTCTTGCCTGGAGAACCCCAGGGACAGAGGAGCCTGGGGGGCCTGGGTCCATGATCACAAAGATTTGGACAGGACTGAGCAGCTGACACTTTCACTTTCCCTGACAGTACACTTGGCATCAGACAAGTTGATGTACTGGGGCTGGTTGGGGTGAGCGCACAGCAGACTCCTACCTCCTTCTCTCTGCCTTCATGTGTGACCTGATGACTGGGTTCTGGAGGAGGGAATATGAGAGGACCAAGGGCTCCAATTCTCAGGTGAGGCTTTTAAGAAGTGAATATACCCATTCCATGTTCTTTGTCCTCTTTTTCCAACATGGTAAAGATTCTTTCCACCTTGGAGAGAGTATAGCCACACAATAGAAGACGGCTTTGCTGCTAAGGAGGAAATTTGCCCGTGGACCAGGAACTCCTGCAGTGAGTGACTACAAGACTAGAAATACACTTCCTGTTGTGTTTGAGCTATTGGACCATTTTCAATGTATTTGATAAAACAACTAGTATTATATTAACACATGCTTATTTTTATTGTTTCTTTGCTTCCTTTCCCCAAATTTCATAACATATTTAGTTAGGGGTACTTAACGCTCTTCCTGTTCATGTAACTTCGAAAATACAGGTTTTTATTTGGTATTACAGTAGATGTCAATCTTATTATCTTTCTTCCACTAACTAATGCTTCCAAAACTTTTGGCACATGTTCCCTACATTGATTATGAAATACTACTAATTTATGGTTATCATTGTCTTTAAAAAAGAGTTGAGAAGCTTATTATTTCTTAATCATTTTATTGTAAGTTTGCTGATAGCCTTTTCAGTGAATACCATTTAAAATGCAAAATGAAGATTCAGATCAAGATATAATACATTGTAAAAGTACTGTATGTGGTTAGTTACTAGGTTGTTTGGAGAAAACGTGATGACTTTCAACAATTTCCAGCTGTGAAAAAAAATGCATATTAGCAGGGAAAGTGGAGGGGACTGTTATTCTTTAAATAACACTCACTGTATGACCTTGACCAAGTCATTTACTTTCAGTGGAACTTGGGTTCAAATATATAATAATATTTATTGAGTGTTGCCTCTATATCCAAATATGGCCTAGGTGCTCTCTATGTATTAATTCCTTTAATCTTCACTGTAGCATGATGAGATAATGCTAAAAGGGAAACAGAAAAACATTATATTAGATTTGTTTGTTGAGAGTCACTGAGTTAAGCGGTAGCAGATTTGAGATCAGAACTATCAGTCTGGTCCCAGAGTAAACATTACTAACCAGTTTACCAGTGCTTTTCAAACTGGAGAGAATCAAAATCATCTGAAGAGCTGTTAAAACACAAATTGCAAGGTCCACTCCCAGAGTTTCTGATGCAGTAGATCTAGAGGAGTGCCTGAGAATTTGCATTTCTAGCCAGTTCTCAAGTGATGCTGATGCCCCTAGCCTGGGGACCGCACCACAAGCACTGTGGTGTGTTCTGCTGCTTTCCTTCTTCAGAAATGTTAGTTTTCTTCTTTAGCAAAGATGGTTTTACTCAGGATCAATAGAGAAATAGCTATTTGGAATGTGCGACCATGACATGACTTGTGCAAGTTCCCATAGGGTGAAGGAGACACGTCTATCTATATCTATAATACACACACATACAGTGATTTAGTGTACAACATATAGAACAAGTGACTATATAGAATTGATGCAATCAGGACTATCAGACCTGCTAAATGCTTAGGGTTTCTGATCCAGGAAGAATGTCTTCCTTAGGATTGTTTACCTTCTAAGGCATCTGGGGCTTTGGAATCATGAACCAGGAGACAGATTCTGAAATAGAAAGATGTGGATTGGAATGGTCAAGTAAGAAAAAAGACTTAAAAAGTAAAATAAGTGAAAGGAACATGTCCTAATTAAAACCACTTCTCTATCTTTTAGAAGCCTCCAAATGCACAGAGATGAAAGCAAGTCTGCTTGTTTTATTAGTTGCCTAACCAATCAATACCATCCTGGAAGCAACAACTGTATAAACATGAAGCCTCCAGCAAATGCTTTGTAGAGCCACCTGCACTCTGATCTAAACTGAACCAGAGTGACATTTCAAACATTCTCATGAGAAGTTTGCTGCTTTCTCAGAATACAGCATTCCATGTTCCCCATAAGATTATTGGAATATGTCAGCATAATTTTTCTTATTCTAGTCTGTACAGTACAGTTTTTCCAGATCAGAACTGGAAAATATATTCATCTTTGATATGGAACATCCAGTGTTTAGAAATAATGTTGTACTATGTCAATAGAACACTTAAAGAATTACATTCTATTCCTGATAATTACTATCGCATGTGTTCCTGGTCAGTATTTTTCTTTTTCTTTCCAACTAGAAGAGTGACTAACAAAATTGTGTTTCTTTTCAAAAGTTTATGTTCATGCTAGATAGTTCTTTACATGAACCTGAATTAAAATGTGCTTAAAAAGTTAATCCAAATTTTTAAATAGATTTTTTCCTAAGTCAACTGCAAACTTTTAGTTAAAATTTATTTATAGTTTAGAAAACAAAGAGAGCAATTAAATACTTTTTCTCTTTGTTCAGTGTTGTGGTAAAGTTTTATTCATTGACTGACAATGTTTACCATAACAATATGAGGAATATACTATCATGGCCTTATGAGAAAACTAAAAATTAGAAAAATTAAGCAGTTTTCCTCAGATCCTACAACCAGTAAGTGTCCAAGCTAAAACTTCAACCCAGTTGTCGCTGAACTACACCATGGGTTTGAAGAGGATTTTTACTGTTGTTCTCAATACCTACACACTCAATTGTGTTGATGGCCTGTTTACTGAACTTAGCTTTTTTGCATAAAATGAATTGTGTGATAATTGTCTCTTTGTAGTAATAAAAATGTTCTACATCCATTAATTAAAATAAAATCCACAAGTAAAACATATGGTTATGATTGCAGAAATTTAAGAATTTTCACCCCATATATAGACTTCCATAGGAAGCCTCTAAGATTTTGTCAGATACAAAATAAAATACCTCAATTTGGAAATACATTTTAGTAGTTATTTTAATATTACTAATTATAGTTTTACTTGGATATTAATGAAGTGCTTTTACATTAATGAAAATAATTGTTCATTTGCACTTGGAGTCAGATATTCATTGATTATTAATCCATTAATGATGATGAATATATCAATTTATTAACTCATTTATTGACATAGAGGATGATCATACTGTGATAAGCATGATAGATATAGACGTCTCTTTTACAGAGTTTACATTCTAGTAGAGGACACATGCACAAAAATATCCAACTATAGAAATAATCATTTAATTATAATTCACTGTCAAAGAAGAAGTGAGAGTGCTTAGAAAGGACTGAACTCCTGTTCCTTACCTAGGGTAGACGAGGGGTCTGGAAATCTCTGAGGGAGTGGATCAGCTAAAATACTGATGGCAAATAGAAATTAGTTGGTAAGGAGAGAAGAATACTAGAGAGCAGAAAAAGTTTCATTAACTCTCTTCTCAAACATATGCATTTATTATTACCAGCATGGACGGACCATGTTTTGTGGAAGAGACATAAAGCTTAAAAAATTGGGGAAAGGGGACTCTTTTAAGAAGAAGAAAAAATATCTACTGTTTATAAAATTTTAAAGGAGTAAAAGTTGTTATGAACACAATGTGAGGGCTCTCACCGGGGTTTCCATCGGCGAGGGGTCCTGAAGCTTAAGCCTGGTCTGGTAAGTTTGCCTTAGTTGATCATCTTTCACAGATGATGAAACTTAGATAGTCATTGAAGAAATCAGTATTTCAACGTAGGTTTTTCTGACTCCAGAATCAGTGTTTGTAACGTTATACTTTGTCAAACACTTCATTACAAAACCAGAAATTATGTGAGAAATTATTCACAAACTCCCTTCCCCCTTATTACCACCGATAGTTATCCACGCTCTTACCTAAACTCACTCTTTCTGCATACTGATTTCCATCCTCTCCCACCCACGCGAGGACATCACTCCAACCAATTCTTTTATCTCTCTCCTACATGATCAGTTTCTGTCTTCCTGTTTTTCCTTGTTGTGTAGAAACCCGCCCACCAAACAGAAAAGAAAGGAAAAGAAATCAGCAAAAACAAATCTTGACTTCATTTCTCCCACTGGCTGCCAACCTCATTTCTTTGCTTCCGTTCATTGCTAGTTTCTCTAAAGAGCTTTTGATATTTCCATCTTCAGTTCTTGTGCTCATCTTTTTGTTTTTAAACAGAAAAATGTACATATTGTAAGTGTATACTTGATTATTTTTCACATATTACCAGCACCCCAGGAGCCCTCTTATGCTTACTTCTAAAAACAGCTTCCCCACATGGCAAGTTTCCTGACTTCTAACACTGTAGTTTAGTTATGTCTGCTTCTGCTTCTATGAATGGAATTGCAGAGCACATGCTTTTTTAACCTGCCTTCTCTTGCTCCACAGTGTACTTGTAATGTGTGTGTATGTGCGCATCTCTCTGTATCTCCATTCTCTTCTGCACGTACTCCGATCAAGCATTTGTTCCCACCTTTCCATGGCACTGTTCGTGTTTTCATGAATAACACCATTCTGCTGCACTCACTAGTCAAATATCATCCTATCTGATCCACGTGGTCTCTTTCCTTTGTACACGATCGTCCTTTCACGGCTGGAACCCTTTAGTCCTGTGGTTTTCTTCTCCCCTCACTCAGTTTTTCTCCGTTTACTGGTTCCTTCTCTTTTCCTTAATTTTCTTTTAATGTTGAGATGTCCGAGGGCTGTTTTTGGTCCTTTTTTATATTCTAACCTAACACACATTCTGGTTGGTTTCATGGTTTCAGATAAACTTAGGATGTTATGACTTCCAGGTTTATATCTCAGGCCCGTGTTTCTTTTCCAGTCTAGATTCGTATATGCAGTGATATACTCCACAGCTCTACCTGAATAGATATCCTAAATCTAACAGCTACAAAACTGACTTCCTATTATATTACTTAATAGTAACTTAATTTTTCTAGGTGCTCAGGGTCAGATACTTGGAATTATCCTGTAATCTTTCCTTTCTCTCATAGTACATACAACCCATCAGCAAATCTTCTCACTTTTTCTTTAACATATATTCAGTGACACAGAATATCTCTTACACCCACTCCTCCATGTTGGAGGCAAAATC